TGTTTGTTTGGGGGATATCTGGACATCGACCTTTTAATCTGAGAGTCTCATAGGAACTGGTAATGAAGAACCTTAAAATCAAACCAAGATGGAGTGACTTAAGCTAACGCTATTAAAAATAAGAAGTCACCTTTGCCCCAAATAAAATTAAAGTTTAAAAATTATAGCCCTAAACTTTTTCCCCAAAGCTAAAATTAGGTGCAGCTATAAAAATAAGGGACCCTATGCTTAGCTAGCTGAGACACTTGCGCCTGGCTGTGCTAAGACCTAACCTATTTTGTATGCCTCCTAATACTCAGATAACGGTGTGGGAAGCGGGACCTGCTCTCCCACAAGGGGAACAAAGGGAGCGAGACGTCGTCCCCACTCAGGGTGAATAAGATGGCGCTGGCAGGGAAAGGAACTGCTGAAGAAGTAAACAACAAAATGGCGATGAGGGGCATGCCTCCCATGTGATCCCGTAGCTGACTGGATAGAGGACGCATGCCCTTCACATGATCAGCTCACTGATTGGATGGAGGACTCATGCCTTTCACATGATCAGCTCACTGATTGGATAGAGGACACATGCCTTTCACATGATCAGCTCACTGATTGGACAGAAGGCACATGCCTTTCACATGATCAGCTCACTGATTGGACAGAAGGCGCATGCCTTTCACATGATCAGCTCACGGATTGGTCGCTGCGGGTATATAAACCGTGTGGCTCTGTGCTGGGTGCGCTCTCTGGACTCCCGAGTTCAGGAGGCCCGTCAGCGCAGACGCCGAATAAATCCTCTTGCTTTTGCATCTGGACTCTGAGTCTTTGGGGTGTGCCTCTCGATGTGTTAGCATCCTCACTCCGAGGGTCTAACAGTAATAGTAAACTTTCTCTAGCACTTTAGAATTTACAAGCTGTTCTCTGGCATATACATTCCAATGAATGCTCCCAGCAGCCCCGGGGGAAGCTGCAACCATCTGTGTCTGGAGTAGGAGGAGCCGAAAGCTTAGAGGGCCAAGTGAATGATGAGTCTGAAAGCAGAACCCAAATCTTCAGATTTTTTTTTTTTTTTTTTTGCAGTCAAACTCCCGAAGTTAGGAGTCAAACTCCTAAGTAAAGCACTTGTCTTGGAACACCACAGTGGCTCCATGTCCCTGACTGAGCCGCAGCTGGGAGACGGTTCTTGGTACCACGAGTGGTTTCAGGGAACCAGACCCTCACAGCCAGAGGTCTAGAACTGGCTCTCTGCTTTGCCCAGCTTTCGTGGCATGGATGGCCCTGTGTCCAGTGGTAAAAAAAGGAACGGCACAAGAAAAGCTCCCACCATAAAACAGACACCTTGGGTACTTGTTACTAGGTTGTCTTATTTTCTCATTAAAGCTCACAGCAAGGCTGTGTGTCATGAGGCGTTTGGAGTCCAAGACAAGCGAGTAGGCAGCTAAACCAGAAGTGGAACTTGAGCCTGACTCTGGAGACACAGGTCTTCATCTCCTGGGTGCGTTAACGTAGGGGACATGCAAACGTGTTGAAAACTAGACAAGACACAAACACACGTGGACTTTAGTCTGGGTTCTATAAATATAGAGGTAGACCAAAAAGAGAAAGAAAATGCAGAGAGAGCAGTGAGAGAGAGACACAGAGAGAAAGTCTTCCTTTTCCGTTGGTTCATCCCACAGTGGCCACCGCGTTGTGGCTAGCACACCATGACGATCCAAAGCCCGGGCTGACAGCAAAGAGCTGGACTGGAAGAGGGGCAACCGGGACAGAATCCAGCGACCCGACCGGGACTAGAACCCGGTGTGCCGGCGCCGCAGATGGAGGATTAGCCTATTGAGCCACGGCGCCGGCCCCAAAAGAAATGTTCAACATGGCCAAAGTGGTGCTGGTTCCAGCTCTCTGGTGTGGGGTCAGGAGCCCAGTTACTTTAGCCATTACAAGCACCTTCCAGGATCTGTGTTGGTAGGAAGCCAGCGTCGGGATCCAGAGCCAGGGACTGGAATTGGGTACTCCGATGTGGGACGTGGGTGTGCTGACCCTAGGCTAGACATCCACATGGGAGCTGTGTTTTGATACTTGAAAGGGAACTTCTACATTTAATGGAAATAGTAATTAAATATTTGAGATGGAGATCATAATACTTTGAAAAGAATGAATCATGAAGAAAACCCTTATCTTTCCTAGCATAATATATTATGAAGTGATAATGATTGAAAAAGTGAAATTGAGTTGCATGTGAATATGAAATTCAAAGAAACAAAGCCATGGGAATGAAAGAATTATGAAAAAGTGACATTTATATTAATAGGTGAATAATAAAATAATAGAAATTTAACATGGTAAAAATGGTGTCCCATTTTTAAAGATTGGATTTAGAAATATTGTAAAATTTTTTTTATTATTGTTTTTTATTTTTTTGACAGGCAGAGTGGACAGTGAGAGAGAGAGAGAGAGACAGAGAGAAAGGTTTTCCTTTTGCCGTTGGCTCACCCTCCAATGGCCGCCATGGAGCCAGGAGCCAGGTACTTATCTGGTCTCCCATGGGGTGCAGGGCCCAAGCACTTGGGCCATGCTCCACTGCACTCCCTGGCCACAGCAGAGAGCTGGCCTGGAAGAGGGGCAACCGGGACAGAATCCAGCACCCCGACCAGGACTAGAACCTGGTGTGCCGGTGCCGCAGGCGGAGGATTAGCCTAGTGAGCCGCGGCGCCGGCCTTGTAAAATTCTGAGCCATGCTAAGAATCAAAGTTTCAAATAAATAAATAAATCTTAAAAAAATTAAAAAGAGGCAGGCGCTGTAGGTGTGTAAAGCCACCACTTGCAGTGCTGGCATCCCATATGGGCACCAGTTCTAGTCCTGGCTGCTCCACTTCCAATCCAGCTCTCTGCTATGGCCTGGGAAAGCAGCAGACGATGGCCCAAGCCGTTGGGTCCCTGCACCCCTGTGGGAGACCTGGAAGATGCTCCTGGCTCCTGGCTTCAGATCAGTGCAGCTCCAGCCGTTGTGGTCATTTGGAGAGTGAACCAGCGGATGGAAGACCACTCTCTTTCTCTCTCCAACTCTGCCTCTCGCTAACTCTGTCTTTCAAATAAATAAATAAACCTTAAAAATTTTTAAAAATCAAAAGTAAATAAGACTTTTCACATATTAGAAGAATAAACTGGACAACATCAATTCCTGTCTTTTCTGGTGGGAAAGAGGGGTCACTTTTGTAAAAAAAGATCTGAGAATTTATCTAATTATAGAGATCCAAGAAGAAAGAAAAGCCAAAGAAGAGAACATTTTTCAGAAGATATTTTCTCTTTTTTTTTTTTTTTTTTTTTGACAGGCAGAGTGGACAGTGAGAGAGAGAAACAGAAAGGTCTTCCACACTGTCAGAAGATATATTCTATGGTGAACAAGGATCTAAGTTTCAGACTGTAAAATCTGCTGAATATAATAATGATAACTGAACTGTCAACCACTCAACTCTCTGACGGTAAAATTGTAGATTGGACAAGTCTAAAGGGCAGTGCTTAGGAGATTTCGGGGCCAGTGCTGCGGCACAGCGGGTTAAAGCCCTGGCCTGAGGCGCTGGCATCCCATATGTGCACCGGTTCTACTCCCGGCTGCTCCTCTTCCGATCCAGCTCTCTGCTGTGGTCTGGGAAAGCAGTATAAGATGAGCCAGGTCCTTGGACCCCTGTACCCACGTGGGAGACCCAGAGGAAGCTCCTGGCTCTTGGCTTCGGTTCCGCACAGCTCTGGCCATTGCGACCATCTGGGGAGTGAACCAGCAGATGGAAGACCTCTCTCTCTCTCTCTCTCTACCTCTCTCTGTAACTCTGTCTTTCAAATAAATAAAACAAATCTTTAAAAGAGAGAGAGAGAGATTTCAGGGTAAGAGAAGGGAGAGTGTCAGTTACAAAAGCACGTTGGTACAACGAACGTCAAACCTTTCATCCCCAACAATGAGGGGAAAACAATCAACAGTTTCAACATTTGGTGGGAAATTACAATTAATTAAGAAATTAATGCTTAGTAGTATTATGAATATTTTCCCCATATATCAAAGGTCTCACAAAATAAACCACCCATAAATGAAATCCAAATAATGATATGAATCTACAAATTAACAGAAAAGAATATAACCCCAAAAAATGAGCTAACATGATTTGACCAAAGTTTATTCAGGCTTCTGTCCTCCCTCCAGGCCCTTGAACTTGAATGCATCCTTGAGCTTCAGCAATGCAGAATGCAGAACAGCCTTGGCAACGTCCCCTTCTGAGGAGCAGTGGACTGCAAAGAAAAACACTTCCTGTGCAGATGATCGCACCTGCTCACCCCACCCCGAAAGCAGTTCTTTCTGGCCTTATTTATTCCTCTCGGGAAGAGAAATGCCTTCCACCCCACCCCCAGCCTTTTCAGATGCTTCTAGATCTTATGACTTGAATGTCCTGTCTACTGAAATTGCCTTTTTTTTTTTTAAGATTTATTTAGGGGCCGGCACCGTGGCACAGTGGGTTAATCCTCTGCCTATGGCACCGGCATCCCATATGGGCACCAGTTCTAGTCTCGGCCGCTCCTCTTCCAATCCAGCTCTCTGCTGTGGCCTGGGAAAGCAGTAGAAGATGGCCCAAGTGCTTGGGCCCCTGCACCCACGTGGAGACCTGGAAGAAGCTCCTGGCTCCTGGCTTTCAACCAGCCCAGTGCTGGCCATAACAGCCATTTGGGGAGTGAACCAACAGAAGGAAGACCTTTCTCTCTGTCTCTCCCTCTCACTGTCTGTAACTCTACCTCTCAAATAAATAAATAAATAAAATCTTTTAAAAATTATTTATTTATTTATTTGAAAGGCAGAGTTACAGAGAGGCAGAGGCAGAAAGAGAGAAGTCTTCCATCCACTGGTTCACTCCCTAACTAGCCACAATGGCCAGAGCTGGGCTGGTTGAAAGCCAGGATCCAGGAGCTCCTTCCAGGTCTCCACGTGGGTGCAGGGGCCCAAGGACTTGGGTCATTTTCTACCGTTTTCTCAGGCCACAGCAGAGAGCTAGATCGGAAGAGGAGCAGCCGGGGCCATGAACCAGCACCCATATGGAATGCCAGCACTGCAGGCAGCGGTTTACCTGCTGTGCCACAGCACCAGCCCCTGCAATTGTCTTTTTAAATAAAATCTCACATTAATTTTTTTTAATTTATTTTCATTTTATTTTGAAAGACAGAGAGACCGGGATAGACAGAAAGCGAAATCTTCCATGTGTTGGCTGGCTTACCCCCCAGATGCCGGCAACAGCAAGGGCTGGGCCAAGCCAGGAGCCTGAAACTGACCTGGGTCGTTCAAGGGGGTGGAACAGACCCAGCTGCTCACCAGGCCCTGCTGTCTCACAGAGTTCATTAGCGGGAAGTTGGAATTGGCTGGAATCAGAAGTGGAGCTGGGTGTCTTGATTGCTATGCAAAATGCCCACCTGTAAACCACTGTTTAAGTTGTTTTCAGAGGTTTCACCACCAAGCTGGCCTGAGCTGGTTTCGGCTAGATAGTGACTGACCAGCTGTGCCATGGATGTGCAAAAATAATCCGATCTATGGATGGCAACTGGGACTGAGCTGTGTCCCCTCACCTTGAAACCAAAAATTGAGGCATCAGCCAGAATGGAACAGACAGCTTTAACAGTGACGGCTCTGAAGGTGACAACATCTGTTTAGTTAGTTTAAGATTTACGTAATTATTTGAAAGGCGGAGTTACAGAAATAGGGAGAGAGAGAGAGACAGAGAAACAGAGAGAGAGAGGTCTTCATCTACTGGTTCAATCCTCAAATGGCCGTGAAGGCTGGGGCTGGGCCAGTCCAAAGCCAGGAGCCAGGAGCTTCTTCCTGGTCTCCCACCTGGGTGCAGGGGCCCAAGGACTTGAGCCATCTTCCACAGCATCATCCCCAAAGAATGTCCACTTTAAAAAAAATGATTTATTTTATTTGAAAGGGAGAGAGAGATCTTCTATCCACTGGTTCCCTCCCTAAAGGCCCACAACAGCTGGGTCTGGGCCAGTCTGAAGCTAGGATCTTGGGACTCCAGCCAGGTCTCCCACATGATCTGCTGCATCCAGGTGCATCAGTAGGGAGCTAAATCAGAAGTGGAGTAGCCAGCACTTGAACCAGGCATTATGACACGGCATGTGGGCATCCCAGGGAGTGGGATGAGGTCTGGTCTCATGTGTCTGGCTTGGAAGGAATTAAAAACAATAACTACAGGAGCACCAATGACTTCCCCTGAGGGACCTGTGCCTGCTTCCCCAACTCCGGGATTCACCTCCCGCTACCCACTATATTCTACGGGGTACACAAACGATCACCATGGGGGGTTAGGTCATTCACCATACAATTCATCCTTTCAAAACCCTTTTCATGCATCTCAAACCCCGCAATACCCAACATAGCTTTTCTTGGTTATGCTTCCCTGTCTTTCAGTCTACAGGGCGGGGATTTCATTTCCAGTTTAGGTATTAACACTCGGGCAAAGGACTAACCTGCGAAGCCCCAGCCGCTTCCCTCACCCACCCATCCGTGCTCTCTCTGACGGCTCTGGGAAGTCACCCAAGCTTCCCTGGCCTCTCACGGCTCCCCAGGTCACTGAAAGTCCTCATGCTTGGGACAGATTTGTTCCCATTCCTGACACACTTTGGGGTCAAGGGAGATGGGCACAGGACGCATTTGGGAAGCAGTGATTTCAAAGATGCTTCTCCCTCAACCGGCACAACGCTCTTCAAAACTGGAGGCAATGTGTGGTCTCCGACAAAAGGGGCCTTGGATAGATGATAGGTAGATAGATGGATGGATAGGTAGATAGATGGATAGGTAGATAGATGGATAGATTGGTAGATGATGGATAGATGGACAGATACCACCCATCTGCTGATTCACTTCTCAGATGCTGACAATGGCTGCGGCTAGTCTGGGGCTGAAGCTGGGAGCCAGGAATTCAATTCAGGCCTCTCACACGGGTGGCAGGAACACCGCCACTTGAGCCTTCTCTGCTGCCTTCCAGTTCTGCGTTGATGGGAAGCTGGAGCCACAGGAGTCAGAGGAGGGCGTGGCGCCCAGGCACTCCACCAAGGGCTCCAGGCATCTTGGCCAGCTTCTGCCTCCTGTCCCCGACACACACACATTGCTTTAGTAGGTTTATTTGTACCGATCCATTGCTGCATCAATCCCCAGTCCCTGGAGATGAGGAGTATTTTCCCATCTTTCTCAAAGGCGTCGGAGCGGCTCACGACAGGCAGGATGGTGGGTCGTTTCTCAACTGCAGCAGGAAGCACCGGACGGGCTGACTCAGCAGAGGTTACTCCTTCACTTCCCCTGCGGTGGAATTCATTTCCGGGATGCCTTTGGCTCCACCCTTATCCTGGGGCTCGCAAACTCTTCCTTTTCCTGCCCCATCCCTTCACGAGCGGAGACACCTTCAGACTTCCGGTCTCAGAAACACAGTGGAGCCAGAGTGCCCGCGGCCGTCCCAGTCCCACTCCGGAGGCTGACCCTGAAGTTCCTTGCTGGAGAGCTGTGGAGGCAGCGGCAGGCTGGGTTCAAGGTCGTCCCCCCGCGCTGTCTAAACCCCTCTCCTGCGAGAAACGCTACTTCTCGTCCTCTCACCTTGCCTCTCCTGGGAGTCCTCTGCTTCCTCGTCCTCACATTATTTTCCACTGTGGTTCAAAACCTTAACTCTGCCACTTCTCTTCCTCCCCTAACTCAAGGACAAACTCAAGAGCGCATGGTGGTGATGACCTGGCCATTTGGGGAGTGAACCAGTGAATGGAAAATCACCCCTCCCCCTCTGCCTCTCTGTAACTGATTTTCAAATAAAAATAAATAAATCTGAAAAAAATATAACGAGGGCAAGGTCTGGGGGTGAAGGAGCGAGGCAGTTTAATCTGTTAATAGACGAGGACCACAGCAGATCAGCAGCCTGAAGCAGGACCGACCGCCTGCTTGCTGAGGACGTCTGGGTTAGCGGTGCAGAGAAGGGGGCTGGTTTCCCGGAAGATGTGGCAGGACAGCGCATCTGCGGGTGGCTCTGATACAGTCCCAGACTGCTCAGCCAGGCGCCAAGCTTGCCACGGCATTGCAGCTGGGCCCTCGGGAGAGGCTGCAGGTGCAGAGATGAGCCTCTCTCTGACTGGCTTGCTCGGCCCCGGCTGCTTGCATGGGGGAGAGGGGAAGCCAAGGACTTAGCCTTGAAACAGAACATAGCAGAGTGTTTTCTAAGAGTGGCTAGAATCAGGGAGAGTGAAACTGTGCATGGTGAGAATCTGCCATCCTTAGACGGCCCTGTACCCAGTGACAAGAACACTCTGATCCTTCATGGATGCGTCCGCAGTCAACTAATTTTTGACAAATGAGCAAAGGCAGGTTGATGGAAAAAGCAGCATCTTTTCAAGAAATGATGGAGTTACTGGACAAAAAATACCAAAATACTCTGGACACAGACCTTACACTCTTCACAAAAATTAGCTGAGGGCCTGGCGCTGTGGCTTAGTAGGTTAAGCCTCCACCCGCCTGCAGCACCAGCATACCGTATAGGCACGGGTTTGTGTCCTGGCTGCTCCTCTTCCCATCCAGCTCCCTGTTAATGACTTGGGAAAGCAGCACAGGATGGCCCGAGTGCTTGGGCCCCTGCACCCACATGGGAGAGCCAGAAGAAGCGCCTGGCTCCTGGCTTCAGGTCAGCCCATCTTCAGCTATTTCAGCCATTTGGGGAGTGAACCAGTGGATGGAAGATCGCTTGTGCGCACTCTTTCTCTTTCTCCCTCTCTCTGTCTGTAACTCTGCCTCTCAAATAAATAAGTAAATCTTTTAAAAAATACTATCTCAGTGCATTATAAACCTAAATGTAAAATGCAAATCTACAAAACTCCCAGAAGATAGCTCAGGAAAAAATCTAGATGGCCTTGGGTTTGGTTAGGACTTTTTACCAGTAACACAAAGGGCATGATCCAAGAAAGAAACGATTACTAAATTGGACTCCATTAAAATGAAAAACTTCCACTTTGCCAAAGACACCGTCAACAGGATAAGAAGTCAAGCCTCAGAGCATAAAGAAATATTTGCAAAAGACATTTGATAAAGGGCTGTCGTCCACAACAGGTGGAATCTGCAAACGCTGGCCGGGCAGGGGCAGGGTGCTGGTGGCCGGGCAGGTGCAGGGGCCGCGGTGGGAAGCGGGCGGAGAGAGGAAGTGCTGATCAAAGTCTCCAGAATTTCAGTTAGGCAGGTGAAGGACTTGAAGAACTCTGTTTTCGATAGATAACAACAGCACACTGTGTTCTTGGAGCATGTCAAGAAAGTAGGTTGTAGGTGTTCTGACCACAAAGACCGTAACTGTGAGATAAGACGTATATGAACTAGATCGCTTTAGCCATTCCACAACCCGCACGTATTGCAAAACCATGTTGTACATGATCCCTTCACGTGATGTTGTCAATTAGAAATTAAAAACAAATTGGATTGATTTTTGAAGAAGATGAAATAAAATAAAACAAAAGAGCCCAATGGTGCAAGGGTGTGTGACCGTGTGAAAGTTGTAGTCGTCGCCTGAGATAGTCGCTGCATTTTCTGTCCCGACAAAGGTGGGAGTCTTGTGATTCATAACGGCCAGCTTCCGGCTCAGGACCACCCAGAGAACGCCAAGTGTGCCCCTCTCACCGTGACGCCTTGCCCATGGTCATCTCTGCCCGTGCTCCACCCTCGTGGCCTCAGGCCGACTCCACAGCTTCTGTTGTGGCACTTGCCCACGGCGGCCTACGCTGCAGGTGTCATCAGACGCACACGTTGCCTAGAAGTTCTGGTATAGAGCTCGGCTACAACAAGATTTTCATGGGTCTGGACACTCCTGCTGTAGGCAAGTCCCCGCTTAAAGGTCTCGGTAGGGACATGAGCTGGAGATCCTGTCTCACCACCCAGCACTGAACCCCATCCTTGTGTTCTTGGGCTTTCCCAGTTTGTGATCCGACCAGGCCAGCACTGCCGTGTGGACCACTCCTTACCATTACCCAAGGTTTCGTATGTTTCCAACAATCCCGTGAAGTCATCCCTGGGTCAGGTGGGCACATGCGATGGGGCCGTTTGCTGTTATCAGAGTTTACGTGAACTTGGCCGGCATTTCTCTGCTTTCAGGTCGTCACTGTGGATCAGAGGGTGAGGAGTTACCTTCTCAGCCAAGTGTCTCTGTAGAAGGAGTGTCACAGGACAGGAATCCCAAGGCAGCTGTGTCCACCCAGGAAACCTACCCCTGTGACGTGTGTGTGAAAGACATTTCACACTTGGCTGCACATCAGGCCTCATATCCCGGGCACAAACCATGTGTGTGTTGAAGCATCTGGGAGCAGATCTGAGTTCAGTGTAAAACTGTCACAGCAGCAGCAGGTGCAGCAGCAGGTGAACAAGCCCTTGGAAGGGAGGAGATGAGGCCTGGCCGGTGGGAACCTACAGAGGGAACACATCAGAGAAGCTTTGCACACGTAGGGAGGGTGGGGAGGGTGGGAAGGCCTTGGGGGCCATGGGAGACTTTCACGCCTGGTGTGGACAAGAGCATTGAAGCCGGGGAGATTTGCACACTGCACAGGGCATAACGAGCGCCGTGATTCTGGGCGCAGATTCACACCTGCTGGGCATCAGAGAATCAGACGAAAGATCTTACATGTGCAGAGAGTTTTAGCCATGCCACTCATCTCATTCAACACCAGAGTGTTCATAACAGAGTAAAACCCGACGGATGCTGTGAGTGTGAGTCTCCTGGGAAACCCTTTGCCGGCAACCCCAGCCTGATTAAACACCGGAGAGTTCACGCTGGAGAAGGGCCTTCCCAGGGCAATGATTGTGGGAAACTCTCCCCGAACAGCCCTTTTGGGGGCAGTGAATGTGGGAAGGCCTTCAGCCGTTGCTCCGACTTCTGCTGCTTTTCCCAGGTGCAGTGACTTTACCTGCTACAACACAATGCTGGCCCCTCTTGTAATGGTTTTTATTTCTGTAAAATCAGTAATAGTCCCTGCTCTTGTTTCTAATTGTTTTAGTAATTTGTTTTTCTCTCTTTTTCCTTGGTAAAAATAGCTAAAGTTTAGTTATAGTTGTTCATCTTTTTTTTTTGAAAGGCAGAGTGGACAGTGAGAGAGAAAGACAGAGAGAAAGGTTTTCCTTTTGCCGTTGGTTCACCCTCCAATGGCCGCCGGGGCCGGCACGCTGCGGCCGGCGCACCGCGCTGATCCGATGGCAGGAGCCAAGTACTTCTCCTGGTCTCCCATGGGGTGCAGGGCCCAAGCACTTGGGCCATCCTCCACTGCACTCCCTGGCCACAGCAGAGAGCTGGCCTGGAAGAGGGGCAACCGGGACAGAATCCGGCGCCCCGACCGGGACTAGAACCCGGTGTGCCGGCGCCGCAAGGCGGAGGATTAGCCTATTGAGCCGCGGCGCCGGTGTTGTTCATCTTTTTGAACCACTGACTTTGGTTTTGCTGACTCTATGTTGTTTTTCTGTTCTCTAGGTATCTCTAATGTCTTTATTCCTCCCTTCCTCCTACTAGCTTTGGCTTTTTTAAAATTTTATTTGAAAAAGAGATAGAGATTTTCAATCTACTTGTTCACTCCTCAAATGACTGCAACAGCCAGGCCTGGGTCAGGCTAACACCAACATTTGGGAGCTCAATCCATGTCTCTCTCGTGAATATCAGGGACTCAACTACTTGAACTATCCCTGGCTGCCTCCCAGGGTGTGCATTAGCAGGAAGCCGGATCAGAAGTGGAACTGAGACGCAGATCAGGTACTCCAGTATGGGATGCAGGCAGCCCAAATGGTATCTTAGCTGCCAAGCTAAATGCCTGCCCTAGTTTTGGGTTTCAGTTTGTTTTTCTTTTACTAGTTCTTTAAGTTGTAAAGTTAGATACAACTTTTTAAAAAATTATTTGAAAAAGAGAAAAAGAGCAAGAGTGCCCGTCTGCTGATTTATTCCCCATATACCCGCAACAAGCAGAGCTGAGTCAGGTCAGAGCTGGGAGCTGGGAGCTCCTTCCAGGCCTCCCACGTGGAGGGCAGGTCCCCAAGTATGTGAGCCATCACCAGCTGCCTCCTGCGCTATGCATTAGCAGACTGTTGAATCAGGAGAGGGGCTGGAACCCGACCCAGGTGCACAAAAACGGGATGTGGGTGCCCCAAGCATGATCCTAACTGCCATGTCAAACAGCCCCAGAGTGAGATTTCTGATCTGAGGTCTTTCTTCTTGCTTAATACAAGCTTGATATCTGTAAAATTGCCTTTTAGGACTGCTTTGACCACATCCCGTACATTTTGGTAGGTTGTATTTTCATTTTACCTCTATTTTATGGCTTCTTTTGTGATGTTTTTCTTTGATATACTGATTATGTTATTTAATTTTTACAAAGTTATGAGTTTTCTAGTTTTCCCTTTGCTCTTTTTTTCTTTTTGTTTCTTTCTTTTCCTTTTCTTTTTTCTTTCTTTCTCTCTTTCTCTCTTTCTTTCTCTCTCTCTCTCTCTCTCTTTCTCTCTTTCTTTCTTTCTGACAGGCAGAGTTACAGAGAGACAGAGAGAAAGGTCTTCCTTCTGTTGCTTCACTCACCAAATGGCCGCTACGGCCAGTGCTGTGCCGATCCAAAGCCAGGAGCCAGGTGCTTCCTCCTGGTCTCCCATGCAGGTGCAGGGCCCAAGGACCTGGGCCACCCTCCACTGCACTCCTGGGCCACAGCAGAGAGCTGGATTGGAAGAGCAACCGGGACTAGAACCCAGCACCTCAACCAGGACTAGAGCCTAGGGTGCTGGCGCTGCAGGCAGAGGATTAGCCTAGTGAGCCGCAGCGCCAGCCTGCTCTTTTTTTTTCTAGCTTTATCCTGTTGAGGTCAGCGAAGAGACTGTGTATTAAACTGATTTTTAATGTCTATTCATTCTTGGGATGAGCAGAAGCACGGTTGTGGTGAAGGTAAGACTTCACCAGGTGTTCAGGTGTTGTTTTAGCTATTCGCCTTTTTTTTTTTTTTTTTTTGCTAAAGTTTGGGCTTTCTCATCACTCTTGCAAGCACATGTTATCTTTGGTCCTTTGGAAAGACAACAAGTAAAATTCCTTGAATATCCCAAACAAACTATTGCTATGATTTTCTCTTGACTGGTCTGCTTTTGTCTTTTTTTTTTAATCTATATTTTAGTTTTCTGAGCCCTGTACTAAAAAATCACAATTTTCATGTGGGGAAATTAGTTACATGAAGCAATTCAAAGATGGTGCCCAGAGGAAGTAAGGTGGGTGAAATCCAAAGTTGTTTACCACCAAAGCTAATTGGCCATGCAACATCAGGGGAGGTAACAAAACTAGTAACAAGTGTATAGACATATGGCTGGTTCTATAGAAATCGCCCCGTAAAATGACCGTTTAAGTGATTGGTTGGTCCTTAGCCCTGCCCCAGTGACTCTGCAGTTTTGTGCTATAAAAGGCTCTGTTACGTGTGAAATAAACGAGTTCTTGCTAGACTTGGCTCCCAGCTGCGTCTGATTGTCTCCAGGATCAGGAGGCTGGGGAACAGGTGAGTGGCTCACTTACATTTCCTCGGACCCAGTCCATCCTGTACGGGTGGACTAAGACCCTGCATTTCATACTCAGACCATCACAACCCATGCCCATGGGAATCTCTGGCTATTTTGTGTCTTTGAAAAGATCCTAATTTTTTTAAAGAATCATTGCTCTCTGTCCCAAGCTGTTCCACAATCACCTGTAATCACCTCTGTCCATTCCTGGAAGTAGTCATTTCTCCAGAAAGTCTTGGCTAATTTTGGGAAGAATGCTATTGAAGGAAGAATGTTACAGACTGAGTATGTCTCCTCCAGATGCATACGCTGAAGCCCCAATCCTCAACGTGATGCCATTTGAAGGTGAGACACTTGGGGGATGATTAGGTTTAGATGAAGTCGTGAGGGTAGAATCCCCACAAGGAGACTGCTGTGCTTTCAAGAGCAGAGGGCGACATCTCTCTTCATAAAGCAACAGAGATAAAAATGAATCAGGTAAAATGTTATCAAAGACGGTGGCAATTTTGCTCTCCTTTCCACTTTCCTCTATGTTGAAATGTTCATAGGAAAAAAGTCAAGAAAGGAATGTTTAAAGGAGTAGTTGGCTTTGCTACTGTATTACTGACTTCCAATTTCTATTTAACTTCGGACAGTGTAGATCACAGGCTGTTGACATTTTCACACACATTAAAAGTGAGTATCTTTCAAAAACTTGATTCAGTTTAAGAGGTAATTTCCACATGAATATCCTCTCCTGTTCCTTTCCTTCTACAAAATTTTATCAGAAAGATTCACCTACAGTTCTAAACTGGACAAAGGGAGGCATTGCTAGACTAACTACATCTGTAGGGTTTTACGATCAAAGTTTCACTAACAGGTAGAAAAAATAATGAAACTAAGATTACGGAGCAAAGAATGCAAGTTCTATTAATCATCATTTTGAAAACAATACCCCATAGTGGTAAGCACACTGGCTCTCCTGTTTGTTAACTATGCTGGTCCCCTGTTGATATCTAAGTATAAAACTTCATGCTTTCAACATTGTGAACATTAAATAATGTTTATTATCTTTCCCAAAAAGTTCACTGGTATGATTATTCTAATACTTTAAACACAAGAATGACAAATGAAGCCTTATTTTCTGAATTACATTATAAATTCTCTAATTCAGACAGGCCCTAACTTACAATGGTTTGAGTTTTGATTCTTTGGCTTTTTGATTATGTGAACTGATAATGTATTCAGTAGAAACCACACTGTAAACTTTACTCTTTTTGGTAAATTACATGAGATATTCAATATTTTATTATAAAATGGACTTTGTGTTAGATAACTTTTCCCAGGTGTAGCCTACTATAAATGTTCTGAATATGCTTCAGACAGACTAGGCTAAGTTATGATATTCAGCAGGTTATGTGTGTTGTATTAAGTGCATTTTCAATGTCTGACATTTTCAACACATGATGGCTTTATACTGATAGAATCCCACTGCAAGTCAAGGGGCATCTGTATCAGAAAAATGAAAATATCTCTGGAAATCTACCAACAATTTTTGCATTTTGAGTTTTTCTTACCAGCATGAGTTCTCAGATGCTGAACAATGAGCCGCACATGAAAGACTCCACATTCCCACGCCTGAAAGTCTTTCCACATTCCTCTCCTGCATATGGTTTCTCTCTAGTGTGAATTCTCAGATGCTGAACAAGCTATGCACCAGTGCTGAAGGCCTTGCCACATTCCTTACCCTCATAGGGTTTCTCGCCAGTACGAAGTCTTTTGTGTTGAACAAGGTATGGAGAACAGCTAATGGCTTTCCCACATTCCTCACATTCATAGGGTTTCTCACCATTATGGATCCTTTGGTGTTGAACAGGGTATGAGCTACTACAAAAAGCTTTTCCACATTCTCTTCACATGGCTTC